GTAATATTAGTGAATATTTTCATAATGTAGATTAGGTCCCATGTGATAGATCTCATGAATATTGTTGTAAAGTCGAAGCTGTTGAAGTAATATAACATCATGACACGAATTTATCTAGCGAGTATAATATAAAGCGCTCCCTGGTAAATATTGCTTTCGTCATTCCCGCCTTCCCAGATATATTTATTCAATTATTCAAATATGAACTGCAAATATGTGTCCAAATATATTCGCAACATGTATGCATTTTCAAATGCAAATCCACGAGTACCTGCCAGTGCACTTTCAGCAAGTGACGGGCAATTGAAATACGTATGAGTATATGCAAAATATGATGAACGTTTTCCACTCCAAATATGTTTTCAGATGTTATCACATAAATTTTCAATAGATACTTGTTAAAAAACGACTGGATTATCATTATTATTCTAAATTTAATGTTTGTAAATAAAAATTAGCAGCATAGATCAAAGTAGAGGTTATGTTATTTTATAAATTTCATAATAAAATGGCGTATCACATTTGCGTCTGGAAATAGCACCTAAAAGTGTTAAAATGTTGACACTAACAAGTACTTTTCAACATGTACTATAATATAATTGTGTTTATCGTATGCTTTATTCGTAATTTCCATTACTTCCTCCATGTTGCTGCACTCTAATTTCCTCTGCGTTCGAATTCAGCGCTGCGGATCATACGGATCGCGTGTCGCAACGCGACGTCCGAGTGAATTTCAACGTTTTGGGCTCGGGAACTTTTCACCCTTCGTCTGGCACGCAAATAACCGACGGGTTGTTAAATACACGAAGGATGTCCAGTTATGACGCGTGTACTCAAATTGTCAACGCTTAATTCACGGCGTGTTACTCATTCAATCCTCGAGTCACTGCTTTGAATAATAATTCTGGGTTATTAGAATTTTCATAACGTGACGGGGATGAGTATATTAACATGCTTTTAGACTTACATTGTATGATTAAAACTAATTTTTTAATAAAAGTTAATTGAAATAAAATTTCAAATATTTTCATAATGTTTATGTATATATTGTTTTACTTTATTGTTTTACAATAGTTTTACCGAGAATAGAAAACAGACATTCTAGGTATATGAAACATAGTTGTGTTAGTTTCAACATTTATAACTTAAGAACGGCTGGACAGATTTTGTTGATTTATGATTTGTTAAATTCATCTTCATTCCGAATAGTAAAATAAGTATCAAAATAACACAAATTATTACTGAAAATGTATTGAATTAGAGGTGAAAATAGGTATAGTAATTCTTTCATAGTTATAGTTAAATAATTGAATCCTCGATTACTTTTCAGTACATTATTAGCAATTCTCATTTCTTTAAAATAAAATTGCGAATTTAATTGAAGAATGTAAAATGAAAAATGTAAAAATTAATTACATTTTTACTAAAAACAACAGAGATGAAGTGGCGACCAAATGATAGTTTCTTATATTTATAAAAACGTTCATACCCTTAGCGTCCTCTAGTTACTTAAAAGTGAACGACTTCAACTTAAAGTTAAATATTGTGAATAATATCTCTAAATATATAAACATTATGTTGTATTTAAACACAAAACTAGTTTAATGTAAGTTTAATCACCCACGCATGTTTGCCAAAATATATTACTATTTGAATACATATTTGTTACTACCCACCTACGTGAATATTTCAATGTTAGTAATGTTGGTTTGTGTGTAATAACGTCCCAATGTTTGTTTGTGTGGTTTAGTGCTTGTTGTTTTGCTGTTTAAATGCGTTACCATGAATTGTTATTGTGCAGGATAGAGAACGTATTCGAATGTATTCAAATCGATGGAAGCGTTTCCCATTTCCGGTATTACCTGTCGAACTACGCGTCCGAGTTGTCAGCTTTAACGTCGAGCCATTAACGGGTGTATTTACGGCGGCGGAAATTAAGGGAAGTCCAATTATGCCGTGTTTTCAGTGCTTTTCAATGCCAAAACTAATAAGTTATTATCACAAACGGCATTTTCACATCATGAAATCGGATTATAAAAGATTCAGTTTAATTATTTCCTAATTACATAAATAACTTGTAAGTTAAATGCATGCTTTGTTTAATAGCTTGAAGAATAGGATTATATTCAGATTAGAGATAAATACCTATATACCTACTGTTTCAATATGAGAAATATTATAAGAAAAATCATAAATATTACAGAACCATTGAATTGATGGGTGAATTGATGATCTAACGCTTCTTAAATAATTCAGGAAGATTCAGTAATATTTTATCGATCAATCTGTTTGAGGTAGAGACGTTGAATGCATTATTATCTCCATCACGCCGAGCGACCCCATCGCCGACCCAGCAGCGCATTCAAATCAACAGCAGGGTCCAATCTGCAAGCACCACTAATGCCTATTGTCAACAGAGTGTCAACACTTGAAGAGGGTATCAGCCGGCCGTCGCGGATAATGCGACGGACGCCATTATTATCGCAACAATCGCAACCTTCGTTCCGCATAAAATGGTGCTATGACACTGCAATATGTCCTAATTCTTCCACACCGCCACCACATCATCGTTTTGCATTATAAATAAATCTAACTCTGATAAATTAAACCAATGATATGTATTTATTCTTTACTAGAATGCAGTTTGTTCGAAAATAACGCAGTTTTGTAAATTCTTGTTCTAGAAGGCAATATTAGTTTTGTGTAGTTTTTGAAGTATTTTTCGATATATTCGCGTTCAATTTATTACAGCGTATCGCGTCCTTTGTCGATGGCCCCTATTTCCATGTTGTTAAACTTTGTGCGCGCGTCCATAAGTCTTGGACGATATATCATCGTTTATCGTCTGTCGTTTGTTCGATATTTACTCCAATTCGTTTGCGAATGTGCACGAAAATGCAGAAAATAACGAGACGCTGCTTTTCAGGCAAAATATTGCATTATATATGAAGAATTCGCATTGAAGAATTCAAATAATCAATTGTATGTAAATATAACAAGTAAATATTTATAAATTGATAACAATTAAAATTCAAATTGCATAAAAACAATTTTTTTCTTAAAAAAAATTTAATAATCATTACGCAAAATACAAAAAAATGTGCATATTGTGCATTCAGTTGATTTCGCTAATTCAGAGTGCCAGCTGGTTTTTTTTAATCATTTATATCTTCCGCTTGGAGTAGCAGCAATGCTGCCAATTAGTGGAAACACGTCACAAAAGGCAACCATTACAGCTGCAGTAACTCTTTCAATCAGCCGCAACAAACTTTCCGGCAACAAACACAGGAAGAAGAGTTTAAACACCCGGCAAAAGTACGAGTAAAACTAATATTGGAAAAAGTTTCAGTAGAAAAAAGTAAAAGAAAACTCAGTTTTATTTCAGTTTGTTGCACCGTTACACTAATTTTCATTTTGTGTTTCAATATTTACCATATTTACTTTATATCCTTCTCTTTTTCGTTTTGTTTTTACTCAGAATTTTCTTAATTTAACCAAGTTAGGCGATTTCTGTAGTTTATGGAAGGCAACACACTGTCTTGTTGTAACACGTTACGTTGACGGTTAATAACGCGCCCGTTTGAGACCTGATGTCAAGAAAACCCGACAAAGGAAATGAAAGAAATAGAAAAAATCCCAGCCGGTGCTATTTTATTGACAGATTTTGTTTTCAAGTCGGAACCAACTGACGACCACAGATTGTATTGACATTTGCTAAAAATGTTAGTAAAATACAACATGTGTTTAGGTTTAATTAATAAAGTTGTTTATGTTTAATTTTGTAAGGGTTCCAACTTTCCACTATACTTGTTTTTGAAAGCCAATCATGAAGTTGAAATTTTCCTTGCAAATGATTCCTGCTCACCCACCATTAATGTAATCTAACCCCAATTGCTAGCTGAGAAATTAACTAATAAACAAGTTAATTGGTTCGTCCATAAATTCCACCTTTCGCCGTCGACGGTTAGTGTTATTCTTGGCAGAAGTGTTCTCAACGAGTTAACGTAACGTTAACATTATGACCGCGATTAGTCTAAACGCCTAAACATCTAAACGTAAAATGCAATGCTTACGTTTTCCGCTTTACCGGTTTTACGTTTGGTGTTAAACTAGGTATTAAAACTTTATCATTTTCTCACAGAACTAAAGATAAAAACAATGCTTCTATGCAACACCTAACATTGAATGATTTTACGATTTCGTATTTTGTAGAACAATGCAATTGTACAAACATATATTTTATGAATTTTTGATAAGCGTGTATTTTTAATAAGCGGCAAAGTTTTATTGCTACAGTAAAACTTCCAACGTTTTTATTAGATTATAAACACTAAGGGTTGATATGTTATTTGATTTGATGTTTTATTATATGTGAGAATGTGTTATCAAGGGTAGCAGGCCGGAGGGCAACATGTGCAAAGACATAAAGGGGGAAGCGATGCGTACACGGCGTACGCGGTTAATTAAAGTTGCCTTTTATGAGGGAAATGTTGCTTTTCACGCTTATTTTTCCATCCTGCAGGCGGAAGTCTTTGCTTTACGAGTGTATTTTATATGCGTGGCGAATACAAAAATTTAGCTATTCAAGTAAGCTGGATCAAAGAGGGTAAGAGGGCGAGAGAGGACAAGCCACAACCCTCCATCAATGACGCCTACTCGTTCGGATTGCGAACCAAGGAACTCAAACTGCCTCCTTCTCTATCTCTGGTACTGGTACCAGGTAGCTGTAGCTGTTAAAATCGAGGGCAACCCCATACCTAAGTCCTGCTGGCGCACTGTACCCCCACTACTTTTTGCGGGTCTGGCACAGGTATAAAAGACAAGCGCGAATTGCGGGCCGCGCTGAGTCGTGCCTGAATCGTCCAGTTCAGTCGCAATTCATTAGGATCTCCTCTCTTTTAGGTTGTGCGCAAAGAATACTTATGCTGTCCTCAAATGTCGAAATTTATATTAGTTGTTCATATCAATGCTATAGAAATATCCGAAATAACATAAATTTTGATCAAGTAATACCATATCACCTGAAGGCTGCCAATTTCACGTTAAACAATATATTTAAATTTTCGCGTGAACAGCCTTCATTTGGTGACAATATATTAAACATATACAATTATTTTCATTTGAATCTAAAAGTTAAAACTATTTAATATAATAATTAGTAGAAGCATAGAATGAAAAATGGCAATGCCAGAAAATGTGGATTCTCCTCGCCGCATTCCGAAAATTAGGTAAAAATGATTAACTTTACACAAGACAACGTGCTAAACATGATTCTCTGTAAAAATTACAGCTTAAAGAAATTTGAACAAGAAACCGAACGCATTGGAGATTCAACTTCCTTTTCTAAGAAAACTTCCAAAACCCATACACCTAAAAGTATGCACGATTGGTGTATAATGGGTATCAATACCATTCGTGATCCCATTGCTGATATTCAAGAAAAACGTGGTATTTCCAGACACCAGTAAGTCGAAACGTCAATTTAAAGAAAACGAGATATAAACTTAACATTTCAGGCGCTTTACATTCGTTGACTTAATGTCAGCACTCTTCAATCACTCTTATAATTCCTGCCTGTGCATCATTACAATGATTATGGGTCTTTTGCCTCTCCTCGAAGGATTACTCAATCTTGTTCGTTTTATTCTGGACAAAATACTGGAGATTGACGAGTGCAAGAACATAGGAGAAAAAGTCTGCAAAACGTTTATATTTATTGGTGAATTATTTGTGATTTTTGTGATAGTGTCCTTAATAGTGACGATTATATTACTCCCGGTGGCGAATTTGATACAGTACACTTTGTACAAAATCTGGCGCTTAGCTAATTAGTTCTAATACGAAAAAAAAAATTTGTATATATTTTGTATATCAAGTAACAAAGAAAACAAACAATGTAATTAAATGAAGGTAAAATATAATGTGATTTAAAAACCATGTGTAAATTGTTTATTTTGAATCAATCTTTACTCTAAAATGGTTGAAAACATGTTTCAACATAGGCAACCCAACATGCAAACCTGCTTTATTATCCTTCGTCGTCCAACAGTAAAACACAGTCTGTACCAGGATATTCTGGCAAATTTAATCCGTACTTGCGTGCTAAAGCAGGTGGTACAAACCTTCCCCCTAAATAATGATATTTTCCTTTAAAATACTTGGCACATGCTTTGGGTGCAGTCAGGGAAATCAAAAGTTCAGGTTTTATTCCTCCTTCAGAAGGTTCACCACTTTCTACATCCCAGCCACTAGGAATATCAATGCTAAAATATACCAATAAAAATTAGTTAATATAATTAAAGGAATAATACTATATCACCTTGCAATAGGAACTTTGGTATTCTTCAAAACTTGCATTACAGCATGAAATTGTGGCCTAACTGGTGGTTTAAAACTGAATCCAAACAAGGCATCCACAAATAAACCATATTCTCTATCAATAGGTGTATCTGGCAAGACATCAATACCCATATTGCAACATTGAGTCACTAGATTATTATACAGTTCCTTGTCTGTCTTCTTTGGATAATAAACAGCAGTAGGATAACCAAACAGTTTCAAATGTCTTGCTGCAACAAGCCCATCACCTCCATTATTTCCTGGTCCACAACAAACCATGATTTTCTTGTCATTTAGAGATTCGACTGAGTATGATTTGGCAATTGCAGTGGCACAGCTCAAACCTGCAAGTTCCATTAATTGATCCACACTGAATTTGTACTCATTGAAGAGTTCCAAGTCAACATTAATGGCTTCATCTTGTCTGAGGTATTTCATTGTACACTTTTGCTTTAAATTTTGGTTAAGAATGTAAGTTCTATTGAAGTGGCTAACATGCGGAAGTTGGAACAACAACTGTAATGTTGGAGGAATGTGTTATTATTAAATTTTTAAGAGCTAGTAATGATATTACCTTCCTGAATAATTTCATATGCATTTTGTGGGCGTTCCTTGAATATTGTTCAAATATTTACGAGAGTCCAAGGTTAAATGTCGGAGATATCACAGACTTACAAAAAATAATTCAGTGGAAAAGGTTTTTTTTTTTTTTTTAAATAAAAGCTCAGTGACAGAACTTGCTTATGAGCATATAAAATGTTATAATTGTTAATTAACAGTTGTCAAAATATTACTAATATTCAATATTAATGAATGCATACTATGTCTGATAGAAGTAATGAATATTACTGACATTACAAAGAGGAAACATTGATTTTTGAATTCATTTAGTGGACAATGACTATTGGGAGTTTTGAGTTGTTAAATAAAGTCTAATTTCTTTTTTATAACTGGTTTTTCGACTATCTGCTAAATTGCATTACTAACTGATTAAAGTCCAGGCCGGTATAACCTCATAAGCGCTCAAAAGCGTATAAATAAATCCGTTATACAAGTAAAAAGTGCTGTATTTGCTGTAAGCAGTCTTGATTCGAGTATTCCACAGTAATCATTGTAAAACAGAGAGAAGATAACTAGATAAAGATGTCTGGAGCAGCATCAAGAGTACCTAATATTGTCAACTACATCAAGAATTGCCCTGGCTTTGAATCAATACTCAAAAATGTAATATTTTCATAGCAATATAAAGACTGATCATAATGAAGTCTGGAAATTACAGATTAAAATTATATCTGCTGGCAATGGGGCATGTGTTGCTGAATACAAAGTGGAGCAAAGTGCCACCAATATTGTAGGTGCATTACATGGAGGCTTCACTGCAACTTTGGTTGATGCTGTCTCGGGCTATGCCCTACACAGTGATGAGGACAAAATTACCCCAAGTGTATCTGTGGATATGCACATGACGTAAGTGTTTTGCTTCAATAGCTCTAAATAGTAACAATGAATTTGCATTTGATTGATTAACTCTGTGCAGATACATGAAAGCAGCAAAACTTGGTGAAGAAATTGTGATTGATGCAAAAACAATGAAAGCTGGTAAAAACCTGGCATATCTTAAGGTAGAGATTAAAAATAAAGAGACTGGAGATCTGCTAGTCCAAGGATTGCATACAAAGTTTATTTTATCTGGGAAAAAGTAACACATTTGTTTTATTAATTATGCTTTTATATATGCTACAAGTGTAGCCAACTTACTTTATATTCATATGTTCAATAAACATTGATTATAATTGTTACATTGCTTAACTGACTTTGCTGATTAGAAACGTATTATGCTACATTTATCAGTGAATAGTTGAAAATTTTGTGTTTGCTCATTACCTATAATTTCCACAAATATTTTCAGCTCATTATAAATATTCATAGGGGCATTTTATTCACAATCATTCCTACACTGCTTATTAAAGTGCGTCGTCAACTGAGTATGATCAGACCGGGATAAATAAGCTGTTTAAATTACAACAAGCTTAAAGGATAACAAGATCAAAATGGCTGCTACAACGAAAGCAGTATCCGCTATTCGCAACTACCTCAAAAATTGTTCTGGTTTTGAGTCAATACTTAAAAATGTATGATTGATAGATATATAAAAGCTTAATATTATTAAAAACAAACATATTGTAGATTAAAATCATATCTGCTGGCAATGGGACATGTTTAGCTGAGTACAAAGTGGAACAAAATGCAACCAACGTTCTTGGTTCATTACATGGTGGATTTACGGCAACTTTGGTTGATGCTACTTCAACTTATGCACTGTATTGTGATCAGGACGAAATTACACCTAGTGTATCTCTTGATATGCACATGACGTAAGTTCTTACTGTAAGCAATTAAAGATTAACAATTAATTAATTAAATGTATGCAGCTACATGAAAGCTGCAAACCTTGGTGATGAAATTTTAATTGATGCTAAAACAATGAGAGCTGGTAAAAACTTGGCATATCTTAGGGTGGAGGTTAAAAACAAACAAACTGGAGATCTGCTGGCTCAAGCTTTGCACACAAGGTTTCTATTATCGGAAAAATCATATTGAACAAGCAGTAATTGTAATTACTAATCTAGAATTCTGGAAGCGACTTTACTGATAATTAAATGATTTAATGCAATATTTATGAGCAAATAGTTCAACATTTTATGTCTAGTCATTATTTAATATCTACACATACAATCACTTCATTGCTAACATTTCTCAAAAGTACGAAGTCCACAAAACAGTTTATGTCATAAAATCAGTCGTGAATTTATAATCTGAGTCTAGGTACACCTAATTCATAATTAGTCAAAGTTTCCAACCAAGCAGACTTAATTTTATATTCCACAAATTTCATCATGCCAAAAGCAGATCTACTGAACCAATTTATAAAAACCTTGAAAGGATTCGATAAAGTAGTAAAAAATGTGAGTAAATCTGAATATTAATCAAGTACGTACATGTTGAAGACTAGAATTTCCTTAAATCTTGAAATTTGTCTAATATATTACATAACCTTAGGTTAAATTCTTAAAAGGAGATAAAGGAAATTGCGTTGCGACGGTCAAAATACAAGAGGATAATCTGAATCCCATGGGTGGTCTGCATGGTGGTTTCTCTGCAACTTTAGTCGATTCAATCTCTAGTTTTGGTTTGATGACTCATGAACCATGGGCCACACCAAGTGTATCTGTTAACATAAATCTTACGTAAGACATACAATTTTCATGTCTATAGTTGTCTTAATGATGAGTTTTCAGATATCTGAAAGGTGCAAAAGTTGGTGAAGAAATTACGATTATTTCGAATGTCTTAAGAGCTGGAAAAACTATGGCTTATTTGGATGTTGAACTGCGTAATGCAGCTGATCAACTGCTAGTGAAGGCTGAACATACAAAATTTAAAATGGGTGCTTAACATAGTGCAAGTTTTGAAATTGCTAGTACAATTGTTGCCAGCTTTAAGTATTAATAAAAGTTAAGTTTGTTTGTGTTCCAATAATGTACTTATCAACTTTTTTTGAAAAATACATTGTTCATTCATTCATTTTTAGTTTGTTGAATGTCAAGAACTCATTGAAAAGAATTTGAAATTATTAATGCAAATAAACCTATAGATTTAAATATGTATTGTGGGCCTTCTATAATTCGTAACTTTTATCAGCAACCAAAAAACACTCAAAATTCAAATTATAATGTTCGCAAAAAGTAGTTTCCATATGTTGAAGATAAACATATAGAAAGGTATGTTAACTACTCGGAAAATAAAAACTTATCGCAAAATATTTCGTAGTAAATGGTTTAATGTATTGGCAAAGGTATGGAATAGGTGGGAAGTCATTAGTATACTTGCTAGTATCATTCGCATGAATGTTTTTGCCACGTGTAATCACCATGCCAAAAATGCAAGTTTTATATCAAACAATCAGGAGAATGAGTGGGGTCAGTGGTTTTTGCCGAACTGTTAGCCACGTGAGTAGCGTTAAACAATTTACATCTACGAAGAATCGCCAGAAAGAAGATAAATGAAAGCCTTCATTTCTTTTCAAGGTGAAAGTAATAAAAGTGAATAGTGGCAACTGCTTTGCAAAGTTGACCCTGCAAGAAGATGATCTAAATCCCATGGGTGGCATGCACGGTGGATTGGCCGCAACTTTGATCGATAATATATCTAGTACTGGTTTATTATCACATAGTAAATGGCGAGAACCTAGTCCAACTATTAGGCTGAATTTATCGTAAGTGCAAATTAAAGCTGCAGTGCTGCGGAAAATATTTGCTGTTGTTTTGTGTACAGGTATCTGCGAAACGCACAATATGGTGAGGAGATCACTATAGAGTCTAAGGTTTTAAAAGTTGGGAAAAATATGGCGTTTGTAGACGTGGAGATACGAAATGCAGAAAAAGAATTGCTGGTGAAGGGCGAGCATGTGAAATTACGAAGTTCTTCCTCTTAAATTTATTTCATAAGAATGTAAATATTTATAAAAACGCATTTTTAAAATAAATACAATAGCTTATGCGGATATTATTTATAAAACACAAATACTAATTACCATTTTTGTGGCTTCATGTTTAAATGAATAAGTATGAACAAGTTATAGATAAAATGGTAAACTTTGGACTTGTTATAATTAAAATCCAACCAACAGTTAACTAATATCAGAAGAATACAGTTAATACAGCCTGTGCTTACTGCACATCACCACTTAATGCCTTAAAGTCAACTACTTAAGTATTCCAGCTACTGATCCAAAATGCCTAAAGCACAATGGTTGAATCAATACTTGAAATCAGCTCCGGTTAGAAATGGATTTGATAAAGTCTTACGAAATGTAAGTACAAACTTGCAAAACTAAGATGATTGCTTTTTTAATAACACAGTAGTAATAATTTGTTTCAAGGTTAATATATTGCAAGCTGATCAAGGTAGTTGTGTTGCCACTGTTAAAGTAACAAAAGGTGATGTCAATCCACTAGGAGCATTACACGGAGGGTTTTCAGCTAGATTATTGATTCAATTTCTCATAGTGGGCTGTTAACACACAAAGATTGGCCAAATATAAGTGTTTCTGTTAATCTTAATATACTGTGAGTACTAATATTTAAATGAGCTGTGCATCATTGATATACTGAATATAAATCTAATTATTACAGGTACATGAAGGGAGTAAAAGTTGATGATGAAGTCAAGCTAATTTCAAAGTTGATTAAAGCTGGCAAGTCCTTTGCTTTTCTGGATATTGAACTTCGCAATCTCAAGACTGATCAACTGCTAGTTAAAGCAGAACAAACTAAGTTTAAAGTTTAATTTGCTACATGTCTTAATACTATTGGTAATACTTTAAAGACAATCCTTTTTTGATAAATATTGCAAAATGAAGATTTTATACTGACTCATTTTCAAGTCTAGTAGATTTAATAAACAAACTGTGTCAAAACAAATGTTTGTTGGAAATTAACTGTCAGACTTCAATTTAAACACATCGTTCGGGAAGTGTACGTTGAAAATTCAATATAAGTCCAGCTCATAATCATTAACTTGTAGGTAATTAAAACGTGTTCCACTTCTAAATTGTTTAGGTGCCAGTGATAACGACAATAAAAAACGATGCAAGGTTATGGTGAAGAAGACAATGCTAGTGTTTTAAAGCAAATTCATGAGTAAATCAAGTAAATCTTCTGAATAATGTCCGAAATGGAAGGCACACGGCGTGTGCAGATTAATAACAGTGCATTAAGGATGATTTATGCAATGTCATTCATAGTAAGTAAATATCCCAGCCATTTTGATGTCGAAGGTCACGCGCTGCGCACCAATTTCGAAATTTAAAAGTTATTGCCTAATTTCTTTTCTTTCGCAGGATTTATTTGCGGTGGGCGTTATATTCCCATTCTTGGGGCCCTATGTGAAGTCCTTAGGATGTACAGACACACAAGTAGGAATTTTTGGCTCAGCATATGCTGCTCTACAAGTTATTTCTGGACCTATCATTGTAAGGGATTGCTTAAAAATCTTGAATATCAAATTTACTCATTTCTATGCTCTCTCAAGGGAAGTTGGAGTGATATCAGAGGTCGTAAATCTATATTATTCGTCACATTGATGATAAGCACCGTTCTCTATTTCCTGATGGGATTTTGCACGACTCTTATAAGTCTTCTTATCCTCAGACTTTTATTAGGTACAGTTTAAAACGTTTGCTGAAATTTCATTTCATAGCATATCAACTATCAGTATGGTTAATTTTGCTTATTTAAAGGTATGTTTAAACATACGCAAACCCTAAATAAAGCAATCATCACAGACCTAACCGGAAACGACAAACAATTGAATATGGCCGTTTATGGTCGGTGTGCATCTTTCGCTTCGATTGGATTTGTTTTTGGTCCAATGGTAAGCGGTCATCTGAGCGAGTTTGATAATGCATTGCAATATATTTGCTCATTAACCGCTTTTCTCTTTGTAGTAAATACAAGTAAGTTCAATTATGTTAACAGAACTTGACTGCAAATTGTTTAAAATTAGTTTTAGCTTATTGCTTACCGAATCTCAAACCGACGTGTTCCCGTCAAAATCGCACTGCGAGAAATGAACTGAAAATAGTCGTCCAGGACCTAAGGGCTGTGAACTGGACAAACCACTGGGGTGCATTTCTTCTAAAATTCTTTTATATTTTTGTGACGACAATGTTCTTCTCAACACAACCATTTTACTTAAGTGAAATGTTCGACGCTGGTAAACTTGAAGTCGGCTATGTGATATCGCTCGTTTCGCTAGTCGGTGTAATCTGTGGCTTCTGCATGTCACGTTTCACAATACTTTTTTACGGAGTGAATGAAACCGCCACCCTCCGGACATATCACATGTTTCTCTTGCTGACGATTTGTTTCATCGGGTTTTTAAGCGTTCGCAATATCTTCGTCTTTGCACTGTTGCTCGTCCCATTCGGGGTGTGCAATGCGGTGCTTAGGATTGTAACAATGGAGTTGGTTGTCGCAAAGTGTAAGGACCACGAACGCGGAAGTTTAACTGGTGCATCGGATAGTATGATGTCGTTAGGACGCTTCCTGGCGCCGATGACGGCCGGAATTCTCGCAGATAAATCGTCGACAGGTGGTGTAATGCTATACGCGGCGTTATTCTCACTGCTCGGGACAGGTGTTGCTTATCATTTGTATGCAATTGATAAACTTGAAGCCAAATATCATGGTGATGGGGACAAGACGGATTAGCATGTTTCGTGAAACAAAGTTCCACTAAATATAAATTTAATGTACATGAGGGTATATATTTTGTCTTCTTGCTTTAAGAATCACTAATTATGCTTTTTATTATTTGCACTTATAGCAAGATTGAATGATTTCATAATTTGTTGTTCTACTACTTTCATTTTTGAATTTTCCGGTTGCCATGCCAATTGTTTAAATCCCAAAAGTGTAGCGAATATTAAAGGAACCACAGCCAACGTCTGAACGGCTCGATGTGAATAAAGATCACAATAAGCGCCCAGCACCACGGGAAGAACACAAGTGATAAGTTTCTGTAAACATTCCATAGAGTTTTTCGTCATCGAATCTGCCTCTATTCCCCAGAGGCGTTCAAACATCTCTCTTGACATTGCTAGCCCCACGAATGCCAATAAATATTCGCCATAGTCATGTGACCGGCACAAAATGTACATCGCGATCGTCATAACCAGAAGACAAGTTAATAATAATTGTCGGATATGCTTCTGAATACTCAGAACAGAGTTATTTAGAAGTTGGCATGCGAATTTAGCGGAGTGAAAGATTAAATTGTGCATTGCTATTGTAAATCCAATCAAACTCGCTGATGCATTGAGATTTGCGGTCATTACCAGAGTAAATTTGATAAAAAAGCATGAAAGTCCAATTGTTGTGAGTATTTTCACCATTGAGAGCAGGGATTTACTCTTCCAGCACTCGCGCCAACTGCTTTGCCATAGTTTTGACATTGGCGGTGAGGGCAATTGAATGTTTGTTGTAATATTGTCTTGAGGTAATTTATAAGCCAATACTATGTGAAAGAAATACTTTAGATTAAGTCTTGTAAAAATGTTAAAAACCGTCTTACCAAGACTTAAAGTTGTTAAAATATTGATCATAGAAGCGACACATAGAATACTGGTATCGTGATACAGCAATCCGCCACAGAAAGGGCCCAGTATAAAAGCCACATTTTTCAATTGTCGTACATAATGATCTCCTGTGGTCTGCTGAGTTTTTGCGATTAACACGTCAGTGGAATACTGAGTTTGGTTGAAGAAAACTGAAATTATAATTTAATACTTGACCTGTTGCTCTGTACTTCTTAGGAATGAAGTAAAATCTCCAAATACTTACAGAAAGGCATCCGGAACAGTAAAAACAAGCGATAGTCATTAGCAATGATAACAATTAAATAGTTGAAAAATGTCATCACATGGCTGAACAGTAGTAAATTACGTGCCCCAACAAACATTGTCACTGGGCTCTGAAAACAAAGAAAATGCACATTCCATACATAATTTTAATGTTTATGTCATTAAACTTACCAATAACGGGCTTATTATAATTTGACTTAAGACTTGAACCATGCTCAATAAGCCCAGAAGGAAGTGTGAACCTTTTAAACCTACCACAATGTAATTATTTAGAACTGGAAGTGTCAATCCAGTGCAAAATGAATCCTGCAAATAAATCAAACATGTAATCTAAAGAAAATCACTTTTCTGATAAAACTTACCAAAAATGAAATTATGTAAAGTTGGTTGAGACTTTTGCTGTCCATTATAGATTTAAACAGCTCTAATGAGTGAAGACTTTGTAAATGAAGTAATTTTGCCCAGGTTTAAATGTTCTTGAGACCAAATTTGTTTGTTCTTTCTGGTTGCACTTGACTGACTTGAATGAACAAAATCAATCAAGTGAATCATGCAATTTCAACACAAATGTTGAACAAATGTTAATTTAAATGAAACATAAACACTATTATTTAGAAGAATTAATGAAATTTATGAAAATGAAACTTGTCAATTTGACATTGAGTACATCACAGTAAGTATTCACCAGAAACTTACCAGTACAGCAATAACTTTATAATAAACTTTAATTATTTGTCCATCACTCAATTAACATTTTACTCTTTAACTAGTCCTAAGCATTGTCATTTAATCTACAAAAAGCATTTATTAAATACAAGAAATAACAATAAGTGGTAAATTTATTGCATCTATTAAATAATGTGTGACTGATTTACAATTTACTGTTTGGAACCTTGCTCCATTGCTTGGAGAATACGAAGGTCTTGACTCTGTTGAATCTTTTTGATGGCATCCTTTAGTTCATCATCACGCTGTTTGTTTACGGGCGGGAAGACAGTCTGCTTCAATTTAGTCACATAATCTTCATAATATTCGGGTTGATTGAAATAGTGGAACATTGCTACGGGAAAACTCATGTAGAGCGTCATTTTAAAGACTTCCAACTGCCAATTGCCCATTAGTATTGCTTTATTTCTATGAATAGAATCGAAAGCGAAGAAAATCAAAAAGAACTACTCACAGAAGCAGTAAATAATGTATAATAATATGTATTATAATTACGTTTTTAGGGATGAAGAAAGCAGGGTTATATTTTGAAAACAGATGTGCTTTTAGGTTGGGAAATCGATTTTAAATTCGTTGTGTTCACTACAAACAAACAAACGAATAGAGAAGTCATTGCCGATTATTGCATTATTAATTCTATAAATTATGAACTGGGACGATGATATTGATACGCTAGCTCAGAAAAAGGTATTATTTCAATCTTACACATTGTTCATGTCTGACTCTGAATTTGAAATTATCCAGTCTGCTGCAAAGCAAGGACGTCGTGCCGGCATGACACAAAGTCCAGACCGTCCAGAAACTCAAGACTTATCATTAGACAGTGACCCTGGTAGTCCAGGTCCTACTCTTCTTAAGGCACATAAAACAGGTCGTTGGGCTGATGAGGGTTCTAAATCTGCCAGGAAGTCGTCAATAAATTTAATTGAACAGAGAGATTTGAAGGGCAAGTGAGTCGAAGAGATGACTCTGATGATGATATTCCCATCATTCCAGATATTGATGATATGCAAGAAGAAATGTTGTCTCTTCATGACACATCAAAGAAGCCTAGGTAAAATTAAAGCAATTTTGTTCTAAGGATTAGTAATTGTTGCTTTTTAGCATTTCTGTAAATAAAGCAACTTATAAGGAACTGGGCTCAGAGGTTAGCAACTTGCAGAAGAAGATTGCTAATATTGGGAATATTAATTTGTCCTTCTTGACAACTCAGTTATATCCAGAGGATGATATCAAGGATTTGGATGAACCATGGACAATGGATGATTTATTTGAGACTTTATTGACTTGCAACAAATGATGAACATCCTGAAGAAATTTTAATTTATTTAATTTTTAATATAAGTTTTATTAATAGTACATCCGTCCAGAGTTTTTTACATGCACATTATTAAAATATTTGAAAATCTTTTTGTGCAATGAATAAAATTAGTATTAAAAGTTTGAAATTGCCAAAAAATGAGCAGCACTAAATAATTTTGAATTATATTTTCAATAAATACCGCAGTTTTTAGCTAATAAGACTGGATCTAAAAACGTATTCAACATAGTTATGCTATACGTTTACACCTGCTGCTATCTGCTGATTATGTTTAGTTACGTATTTCTCATATAGGTGTCGTTAGCAATATTGAATTAAAGATAATATTAAATGTTTTCCTTTCTGTTTCCCATATAGATGACGCTAGCAATATCAATATAAGGATAATATCAAGTTTTCCTTTGGAATATTCAGGATATCCGGTGGTGTGTGGAGAATCTATTGCAGTAAACTGAGGACATGAAACTTGCAGTCTATTTTCCGCCGCTGGATGGCTCCACCAATCTTTAACTTTGTTTATTCGTTTTGCATCGCGGCGTGCAGTGATAATCAAACGTGCACCGAACTCGTCTGCGAACTGAAGCCGATTTTCCACCAAAGCCGCTATTTTCCACCGAAAACGCACCAGGATGGTAATAAGTCTACAACCAATTAACTAATTAAGGTATGTGATTACTGATTACTAATTAATTCTCAACACAACGTGTCACTGTAGTCGTATAAACAAACAAGTTTTTTTTATTGTTTGTTTTGTAGTTTTAGTAGATACAAGAAGAAAATCTTGACACGTTGGTGGTTTACTGGCGATAGTGGCAATGTTAGCAATGAATCCAAGGTGTGTTTTGTGTATTTTTTGCGCGCACGCTTGAAGAATTCCTCTTTCTTCGCGTGGCGCATTGTCGTGTCGGCCGGTGCACCGCGAGCGATTCAGGACGCGCATCTTCGCTCGCATCTCCTCGTGCGTGGCGTGCGCGTTTCGCGCGTCCCGCGGTGGCCGCCTCATGCCATCTTCATGCGGTCCATTGTGCCGATGCGGGTGTAGGTGTGGGCAGGCGGATACGTATCGGCGTTGTCGATCGCTCACACGTGGGCCGTGGGGTAGGTCGCGGCCGCACGCCCTATGCTAATGGCCCACACAGGCCTCCGTCGGCCCATTATTCAATCCGAGAAAAACACCAAACAACAAACCGTCGCAAACAATTGCGAATAAATCCCTCGTGATGGCAAATACTCAAATTAAAAGTCTCTCCTGGTAAAATCAACAAACAACTTCAAAGGCAAGCAATTTTAAAGATATAAATTAGGTCATAACGCCATGTCATAACTTCCACAATATAATTGATATGGTAAGAACTTGTTTGACTTGTTCTGGATTTAATCCTGACAGCGACAATGTCCCTGCACGGTCGTCACATCCATCGTGATGTAAGCGTAAAGTCAGAACAATCGATTCGCGTATCGATTCGATTATGCGCTGCATAACAGCGAAACACCGGCTGAAAGCGATAAATAACGCAGGTTTGCAGTGTCGCACTGTGCCCACCTTATTAATATTCATAATTCATATAATATTCTTTAGTATTTGCACACTCGCGCTCGTGCGTCAAACATTGCGGCGGAATATCTTGCATTGTATCTCTCTAATAACCATGTCTTTTGATATCTATTGAATAACATCAATAGAATTACAGGAGGTTACAAATAAAAACATTAAATATTTTTATCTTCATAAAAATGAAGATTTTAATGATAAAATGTAAGTATGTTTACTTTTAAATTATTTTTTGAAGTTTTTAATTGATTTGCAAAAGAAATCTTAAATAAATAGCGAATTGTAAGAATTTGGAAGGCCTTGTATAAAATTTGATATATTTGAAGTTGATGCAAGGCGATTAATATAAATAACGTTTATTGTTTAATCCCACAGCGAGCGAACAAGTTGCCGCTAATGTTAATGAGAAAATTGCTCAACTCCGCGAAGGAACGAGACTTTAATCGATTGATTCTCAATAAAATGTTTGTATAAATAGCAAATACGTTGGAAAAAAGTGCCATTCTCTATTGATCACCTTTGCGATGCAATATAGTGATGCTTGAAAAATGTTTGAAATCAAGTTCCTCGATATTAATAGGTTTATTATGCAAACTGGACGCGCATTGGTTGCGCGCTCGCCATCTTTGATCGACAATAAATGGCACAAGAGATTAGCAGCGTGTTCGCCGTGTGTAACATGTGCCCTTGTGCCGTTTCGTTTTCTATTATCATTCTATCGAGTTGGCGCATAACGCACGCGGCGTGCAAATACACCGGTGCACCTAGATTTAGATATATTCCGCATCGGCTTTGATATGCAAATTGTTTTTCTTCACGTGGGTTTCGCGCACACATCATTCGATGATGTATATTGGCAACGCATATGAAATATGAAATTTTACAACAAATTTTATAGTTTAATCTCTGAGATTTTGGAATAATATTAGAAAACTTTTTGTTTTAGATTTTAAGGTTTGCAATAAACATTCACACAGGATGCACCGTAGCAACCACAGTATTCGCGCATATTATCTGTACAAAGCGTACTTAATTACAGTAATTAAACCAATTTGACACTAGAAGCTCCGGAACGCTGACTCTTTTTATCTTCGTGCCTTCTTCTTCATTTTCGATGCTTTCGTCGAGCATTACATCGTTAAATTGGCAGTGTGCACAATCCAGAAAGGATCACAGCGCAGCCGAGTGAACAAAAGGCCGAGTGTAATATTGTTTTAATTAAAGTGCGTGCGTGCGCGGCGCGACGCGGCGTTTAGCGCGGATTTAGTCGAGCGTGATTTATGTGGGTTTAATATAAATGACCGGATGGCTCGCGTGAGCCGCATGTGTGCGCAGGAACACCCACATAAGTGAGTGCAATCCGTCATATTATACCATCGGCATCGGCCGCTGCGGCAATGTCATAACATCGTCATGAGAGGAGAAAACGCAATTTCGTTTTCAGCTGCATGTCGCTGCATTTTTCCACCGCTGCCAGTCGGGCGAAATTAGCTGCGCGGAATGGAAGTGCGAAAAATTAGTGCAGGCACACGTTTATGACCGAAAAATTATTAATTATGGACGTTTCATTTTCCCGTGTGGAATTGGGTCATTTTAAACTTCACTTTCATTTCTTCAACTGTCATAAAAATACACAAAAAAAATAATCCAAATTTTATTATGTATTTAAACTTAAAGTAGTAGACTTAAATTTAATACGGTTGGTTCTTCTGCTGAATGATTCTTCGAGTCATGTTTTCGTGTGCGCAAAAACAGAAATGTCGAGTTTTCTGTGGGGGTGTAAAACAATTCAGACTCGCAATGCGCACACATCCTCTTAGCGCGGCTTAGCCGCGTCGAGAGAACGCAAAATGTAATTCACGACCGACTCGCCTAGTTCTTGGTTCTGTACTCTTCACCAACGAACCCGACATCCAACATCCAACATCCAACATTCGAAGTGCGACGCGTGTACTTATATCGCACGGAAAGTACACTCGAACGCGAAGAAACGCAGAAATGGTTGGCAAAGTGGAAAAAATTGGGAACACGCAGGCAACACGACTTAGACAGTTGAAGCGCATAACATTTTGGGATCAAATCGAAATCGAGACATTTCTCCGAAGCAAAAATACTTCTAAACTTTGTGACTTATCAAATTCATGCCATTGAATGCACTTATAATTTTTCCGAACTGAATTAGAAATAATTTTCACCGTGACGTTTAAACTATTATAAAATAGACACAATCACCCACACCACCTACGCAACTTCACTGCGCCGAAGAGCTGGCCTGTTGCTGTATTATTTTCTAGCTCTGCACGATAAGCGAAAAAATGCGCGCCTACAGGACGCTCGATCACATCCATCTCGGCTCCTTCGTCTCTTGCGTTTCCGCATGCAAATCGCGCGTATCCCCTGTGCCGCACTTTCAATTACACGCCACGAGCACGCCGAGTTGGTACTCCGGTGGCTCACCTGGTACCTCCTCTCGCAGGTCGTGCCTTCGTCGTAGGTTACTCCGAGCGTGCCGTCACATC